GGCGGGTTTGGGGCAAGCAAAGAAAAGCGCTCCTGTGGCGGCACATTTGTCACCCCAGGAGGTGGGACCGGATGCAAACACAAAGCAGCAGCCCCAAAGAAAGTTTAGGAACAGCTGATGGAGAAGGACCCCCAGGGGGATCTGAGGGAGAGGATGCCCTGGAGAATGAGAGGCAGGGGGAGCCTCGAGCCAGTGGGGCCCTTCAGGAGCGCGTCTGCGCCAAGGGTGCAGGGTGAGGGCGTGCTTACCGCAGCGCAGCTGGGCCTCCTGGAGGCCGCCCAGGGCCTGGGCGTGGAGGGCACCGGGGTAGGCACAGAGCGTGTGCTCCGACAGCTGCAGGGAGCGATTCCGGGCCCAGGACAGCAGCCAGCGCAGGCGGCAGTCGCAGGTCAGGTACTCAGTGCCGAGATCCCTGCAGAATGGGTAGAGGGGCCACAGAGTAGAGCGGAGGGGGCGTGGGCTCAGGGGGTGGGGTTGGAGCCCTGGGAGGGAGACTGAGGCTGGGAAGGGCACATTTGGGTATGCGTTTGCCACCACCAGCCTGGCGATGGTGGGAAGGCAGGTATGATGCTTTCAGCCATTGCCTGTCCCGCCTATGCATAAGGCTGGCCACGGTGGTCATGATACTTGCATGTGTCCTTCCTGGGCAGAGAAAGGAAGCAGAGGTCTGAGTCCTTGGGCTGGAAATAGATACTCACACAACCTTAAGGGCTGGCAGCTCATCAAAGACCCCAGGTTGCAGACTGGAGAAGATGTTTCCAGATATGTTTCTGCAGGGGGGCAGGGAACAGTGAGCCCGGATCTCAGGGTCTCCCTGAGCCAGAGGAGGGAGGAGTGGGTGAAGGGAACACAGGGGACTCTGAGGGTCTGGTGCTGCCCTCCCTCCTCCCAGGCCCATCCTCCCCACTAACTGCCCCTCACTTACAGTCGGAGAAGCCTGGGGAGGCCCTGGAAGGTCTCAGAGGTGAGACAGCCAATCCGGTTGTTGGATAGATCTCTAGAGAGACACACACACACAGCCTCAGCAAGCTGGCCACGTAGCAGCACGTGGATCCACTCGTGGGGGACACAAGTGTGTGGCCGGGGCTCGTGTGGGGAGTAGGATGAACAAGGAGATGGGCTTGAGGTGTCTCCTCCATCAGCGCCCCCCGCCCCAGCAATACAGCGTGTTGGGGACAGGGGCGCTGTGAGTGGGGAAACGAGAAGGGACCCAGGGGACCGTCCCCAGGGCTAGGGGAGCAGGACATGCCACTTACAAGCGCTTCAGCTCTCCCAGGCCCAGGAAGGCCCCGGGATGCACCGTGCTGATGACATTGTTCCTCAGGTCCCTGTGGGAGGCAAGTGGGAGTACTCACACCTCTGCCCGTCTGGGCCACATGCTCTCCTGGGGTGGAGAAGCTTCACTTTCACCAGACAAGAACTAGATTTCCTTCTAAATCTCCTCAGTGCTGGTTGGGAGGCTGGATGAAGGATCCCACCCCTTAGACGCATCTCCGCGGCCCACCCCAGCTACCGTCAAGGGGTGCTGGTCAGAAGGGTGTCAGGAAGCATATGGAAGCCAAGAGATGGGGAGGGGCCACCTGGGACGCAGAAGCAGCGCACGGTGGAAGCAAGGAGGGGAGCCGGCACTGAACTGGGAGCCGGGAGCCCTTGCTCCAGGTCGCTCCGATCCGAGCTACCCAGGATCGCACAGGGGCTGCTGTGTGCACCACTTGAAAATGGATGTGAAAGTCTTTTGTAAATTGCTAGCCAAAGGTAAGATCTCCTGGAGTGTGGCACTGGGGGAGGTATTTTCATAGCCATCCTGTCCGTGTTGATCTCTCCATTTGACAGGTGTGGAAATGGGTCAAGCAGCTGATGACCGCATGGGTGCTGACCTGGGTCTCTGATTCCAGGGCACAACCATTACCGTCCTCCTCCCCCACCCCCCGCCCCGCC